ATAAATAGTTTTCAAACATCTTCCTGGCTCACCTAGAATGTTACTCTGACATTTGTAGCTCTACACATACAAATTCACCTTTGATTTTTATTTATTTCACTAGCCTTCAGATCTCCAACTCTCGGTGCCATTACAAGAAGTACTAGATTGAACATATAAAGTGTAAAATTCACAAAATGTGCCAACAGACTGACCCAACTAACCCATATCCTGTTAAAAAAACGCTTATAATGATTCAGTCACTCAACTTTTAAACACCCTTGCCTCTCCAATAACACAAAAGAAAGGATAAGCTTTGTTATTTTCTCTGATGTAGGGAAATGGGGAAACTACTCATATAACCACTATTACGAGAAGTTGAGTCCTTGCCTCCACAGGACTTAGCCAATTCTCACCCTCCTACTCACATTCAGGGTCACAGTTAGGCCCAACAAACAATTTTCTGATGGGGGAAAAAAAAAAAGACTAGCTTCCAAAATAGCAGGGCCTAGTTCCATTTATTTAGGTTCCGATACTTTTACTCTCTTAGACCCTATAGTGATCTGTGCACTGACCTATGCACTTGTTCTGAATTTAAAATACCACCAGAAAGAAACTAACAAATGCAATTACCACATGAGGCTTTTTTGATCTGATGCATCATTATTGATAGTTGTCATAGTAGTTTTCTGGTAGCAAACACAATTTATTATTAGTAGTAGTAATCATTTACATTGTGCTAGCACCTGGAGGCCTCATGCAGGTCAGAGCCCCATTGTTCTAGGTACAGTACAAATATCTGGTAAATGAGAATGGCCGCTCCAAAGAACTTACTTGACACTGTCCTCACACTTACACACAGGAAGATACAGCTCCTGCCCTGGAGAGTTTACAGCCTTAGGCCTCGATCCTGAAAACACTTACACATGAGTAATTTTACACATGTGAGTCATTCTATTTGATCAAAGGAGTTAAAAGGAAAGATCTCCTTTATCTTTTACTGTTCTCAATTATCTCACTGCTTTGTGGAATAAAAGATTGCCCTATAAATCGCTCTGTACACCCAAGCACTGTCCTAGTCTAAAAAATCACAGTTGAAAGAGAGAAAGCTAGGTATTTCCTGCCACCTAGTGGCATTCATAGAGAACAACAATCCTTCTTGTCAAAGGGGTGATGATATTTGAAAAAATGATTTCTGTTCAACACCAGGAGATGTGCAAAGTATGCTTTTCCCAGAGGCACCAAACAAGGCAAACAGTAACAGTGTAACAGTGCTTTGAGAGATTAGCATGGATTAGTGGCCACCCCTCTGGTTTGAAGTACAGCCTCTTATTAGTAATGGCCCACACGAGCCGGATCCTCAGATGATTTAAATTGGTGTAGTTCCATTGTAATTAATTTACACCAGCTGAGGATCTCATCCCATGCTTTCTTTCTGAAAAATAGCCTCCGTCATTTTCCACAACCATGCGGGTGGCAGGCTTGTAGAAACCTTCTTGGTTTGGGTTTTCTAGGGAGAGATTATATATATTGTAACACTGATGGGTATTTTGATCTGAGGGTAATTGCTGATAATAGTCTCTTAGGCCCCAGTTCAGCAAAGCGTACAAAAGCACAAAAGCACAAGCCTAACTTTAAGTACATGAATAGTCCCATTGACTTCAAAGGCATTAGTCACATGCTTGAAGTTAGACCGGTTTTTATGGAACCTTGATGAATCAGTGCCTTAACATATACATAATTAAATAGACTCCCAAAGGCACCCAGAGGTTGGGATGGGCACACTTTTGTTTAGAGTACTAGGAATCTGAATAAATAAATTACAAAAACTAGAAAATGCCTTACGGTATGAACAGACACAATTAATAGTTAGATATTTTAAAAGTGAATCTCACACTTTGGAAAGGTGTCAGACTGACAACTCAGAGAAATGAACTCATATTTATCCTTGGTACAGCCTTAGTACTGTCAGCTGCAAGCTTCCTCACATTGCCACCGATGTAATCCTTTTTTGAGCTAGTTAGACTACTTCTACAGGACAAAGATTAGTTCAGATGGGATACCTATTCAGTCTATAGCTGCTAATTAGAACCAATTGTGCTGATGGTTTTGGCAGCATATATATCTTTATTCTAAGAACTGGACTAAGATCAGAAGTTCATTCCACACAGGAAAAAAGATCTGTCCTGACTTTTGGCTCTACAGTAATATAAATTCCTAGAAGCAAAGTGGACAGATGTCTCAATGTGACCGTCACAATCCTGGGTTGCCTATTTACGGAATGCCCTGGCATCCTGACTGCCCTCACAATGCCAATTATCTTTAGTTTTCTTTATTCTAGAATCTCAACCACTGCAGCTGAGGAGGTGAAATATTTTCGCACACTGGTTTGTTGCTTCTTTTTTTCTGCAGAAGAAACTTATGACAAGGGTGAGATTTGGAATACTGTGGTACCAGCTAAAAGGCTGCAAGTGGCTGATAGGCATGAATGAACAAATAACTCCCTCCAAACACCTAATCTTCCTCAAGGGACTGGGATCTCCCAATGCCTCAGTGAGCTGCAAATTCTGGTAACAGTCTCCACTGTCTCACCATTGCATGCAGTGGACTGTAGAAAATGAAGCCAGAGAACCAAGTCGCCACAATGGGAGTGTGGCTCTGTAAATTAGAAGACTTTTACCTCTGAAGAATGAAGCTCAGGTTGCATTTAGATGACATGAGAGAAATGGATTAAGTGATCTCAAGTCTGGTCCTTGAATAGCTGTCCATATTGCTCAGAAATGGAATAGCAATACATACTGCAGGCTAGGTATGCACTGGCAAAGTTTTGAGGGGAAGTTTCCACTATGCCTAATGGCACTATGTGACAGCTGGCTTTAAATCAGTGCTGTCGATCCATCACTTCCATAAACACCACAGAGCTGTTTTCACAACCCCCATTCTAAGCAATAAATTCCTTGTTGAACAGTCCAGGTCTCCTGCCTGTAGTGTCAATTTATATCCAGAAATGTAGTCTCCAGTTGCTACCACATTAAGTAGCAGCAATATGTTGTAGAGTGACTACAATAAATTGCCTTTGGTCTAAACGCTATTATTTTCTAACACATATGTAAAATACAGTCTCTCCTGCATCTGAAACCTTGGGGAGGGGGAGGTTTTGATTCATAAGATATTAAAATATCTCCTTGTGATTGTTCTCAAGCTCCTACCAGTGGAGGGTGCTTTCTGCCGGGGTTACCACAATTTGCATTTTCCTCTTTTTCTCTCTAATAGATAGCATGAATGTTCTGAATGTTGGCTCTGAATTCCTCCTGCCCTTTGGGGAACACTATGCTCCTGTGGTACCCATGGAATAATATACATAGACAATATGAAGATTTGAAATAAGTACATTGTGTCCAGAGACCCATGCAGGGCTTGATTTTTAAAGCGCACATTTTAAGTCTGCAATTAGGGGCAATGATGCACAAAGACAGCTATCTGCAGAATTGCAAAAGAAGTGCCCAGGGCAATGGAAAATAAAGGCATCCCTCTGCCCAACTGTACACCTAATTTAGGGCCCAAATCCTGCCTGCAATGGCTTCTGAAACTCATTTACTTTAATGAGAGTCCTGAGTACTCAGGGTTTGCAGGATTAGGTCCATCAGGACTCTAACTGAGCACCCAGTGTATCATCAGATATCCCAGAGATGTTTTAGGTATCCTCTTCTCTGTGCTCTCATCTGTATTATGGGAATAGATTCACTCTTCCTTTAAAAAAATGAATGGGGTCCTTGTTCTCCTTTGCAGGACAGCAGTAACTCCCACTGACTTCAATAGAATTTATTCCTATTGAGTGGTGAGAGAATACGGACTGGCATATGTAACTAAAAACAAAATTAGTAGAAGTTTAAAGCTTTATTGTTAATGATGTTGAGACCAGTGATGAAACAGTTCCTTTAAATAGCCTAAAATATGTCAGATATTAGCTGGGTTATGTCACATCTATACCTCCCCATGAGAGCTTTTTGCCTCTCTTCCCTCTTAATTTAAGATACCTTCTCTTCTCTCTCAGAACTTTAGAATGGATGAGGACACTGGACTCTTGGGATTTATAGGCAGATTTGGCAGGTTTTTCTTATTTACTTGGACTGCAAGATGTAAATCATCCTTGAAGCGCTCTTGCCAAGAGTACAGTACGTTTATTTGTTAACTGAATTAAGCATGTTACTGGGATGGATAGGGATAGAATTTTTTTATTGGTAAGTATGTTTAGATTTTTATGTCCTTATGGTTTAATTTGTGCAATCTGGGTTACACATATTTGGTCATAGTTGGTTTTGGAGGTTTGTGGTTGATTTGCTCCACTTGTAACACATTAATACAAAGGAAATTTAAACAAGAGTTAACACATTTTCTAAATAAGTTTATAATCAAATATACCCCCTCAATAATTGCATTTGCAGGGAATGGGAAGCAAAACATTGCAAACAAAGTGCTTTTCAAGAATACATCATTCCTTACACGTGGAAGTAAGTTTGAGACGCTCGATTTATGGCCTTACCTATTTTGCAAATATACTCACTCAATTTAATAGACTGTCATACCTTAAGCCCTCTCTCATTTGTTTCACTAACACATTTAGGTGCACAGAGGGTCTAGCATTCTTAAACCTTATTATCAATATTCAAGTGCACATAAGTTCCCTTGTTGCTTACTGGGTACACAGCTTGTGGTTTGCAGATGCATTTCAGATGCCTCGCACTGGGAAATTTAGATCACTCTGGTTTCTTGTTAACCCCCTCCTTTCTCCTTTCCTAAGTCCCTTTCCTCTGACAGTGTCTTCTAAGCCGAATTAAAACCCAACATAATTCAGAAGTCACAATATTAGGGTGGGTTTGAAATTAGGCAGAACAAATTAGCTAATTTCTAACATGGCCAACAGAATTTGGTCCTTTATGTGTAAAAAGGCCTTGCATTTTCTGCATAAAAAGCTACTGGACATTAGTATGGACGCTTTCACCTTTTTGAAATCACCTTACCTGGCTGGTAGACAGAGGGCCTTATGCTAGCAGTAGTGACAACTCTTGGTTTTGGAGCAGGAACTGGACTTTCACTGTAGCCTGAGGAAGGAGCGGTACCCTGGAAAACCGGTGTTGATGTATAGGACTGGCCCGTACCTCTAAAAGCAAAGCAAAGCTGTGAGCAATTTCCAGACATCAAGAGCCGCAGATTAAGAAATCAAGAGATTTGTCAGCTTCCATACAACCCCAAGGGATGCTTCCTTAATAGCACAGAGAGAAGAATGTGAGATTCATTAGCCTTTTTGGTCACTATAGGTGATGAAGGCAGCCAGTGCAGCCCCTATCACTGGCATTTTAATGACTGCTTTAAAAACAAATTTAATGAGGAAAAAGAGCCTGCTGTCAGTGTATCTTTAACATTGGCACCTTTACAGAATCAATCCCTTTGGTTGGGAAAACTAGCCAAATAGGGGACCTAATCAATCTCTAGTTTTGAGCGTGACCAACTGCAGGAAGATCCCATTTAGCAGGGGTTGATCATTTCAGATGTCAGGGCTAGGCATCTGAAAATGAGATTCTTGGTCCATTTGCCTAGTGCCTACAAAGAGGCTTCTCCTGGTCTCATTAAAATCAGTGGGAGTTTTGCTACTGATTTCAATGGGAGCAAAATCAAACACAATTCAGTGATTTATACTAGTGCTATGAGAACTGGTAACCCACGTCTTTTCAGTGGGACCAAGCACTTGGCCTTTAGAAAGCAGGGAGAAAAATATATCTCATCTCTGAAACTAGCCCCTTTCCAGGTCTAGGATGAGGTTATAATCTATTCATTTATTTTTCTAATGTTTAAGTTCGGAGGGTTCCAAAAGCCTCTGATTTGCAATTACATGATCTCTCCCCTATGCTCCTGGATTGAGAAACTCTTTGAAGGATTCCAAATAGCAGCAGTGAGGGATTTCAATGCGGAAAGTCACCCCTGAGGAGTTTATCTCCACACATAGGTGCTGCCACACCCCTGGCTTGAAGTGGCTTCCATCACATACAGGGTTTACAGTTTGGTTCAATGGCTCTCAGCACCTCTATAAAAATTGTTCCAGCACTTGTGTCTCCAGCACTTTCTTACGGTACAGGTGATGAACCTGAGGGTATGTCTACACTTACCAGGGATTGATGCTGCTGTGATTGATGCAGCGGGGGTCGATTTAGCGGGTCTAGTGAAGACCTGCTAAATTGACCACAGAGCGCTCTCTGGTCAACTCTGTTACTCCACTGGAATGAGAGGAGTAAGGTAAGTTGACAGGAGAGCATCTCCCATTGACGCAGTGTAGTGTAGACACCGCAGTAAGTCAACCTAAGCTATATCGACTCCAGCTACGTAACTGGAGTAGCGTAACTTAGGTCAACTTACCCCAGTAGTGTAGCCAAGGCCTCAGTTTGATAATAGTAAACCACAGCATTATTTGCAGCTTGGATTTACTGATCTTCACACTTGCAACCTTTTTACTTTAATTAAATGAGTTGAATGCAATTTAGTCTGGAGGACTGAGCACTGGACTTGAAGCAACATCCACTTACCTCAGAGAGGTCTTGTGAGGCATACATTAATTAAATATTGCAAGGTCCTACCAGTACACTGGGATATAAGATCAATTTTTATTAGGACAGCCAGTGAAATAAGTGGGAATAAGAATTTCTGGTTCCCAGGCCTATGCTCAATCCATCTCCTTGATCATGCTGTTTTTAAGAAACATAAAATGTTTGATGACCGCAAAAGTAGATACATTTCACTGAAGAACATTTTTCATGGCAAATATATTACCCTACTTATGCTATAAGACCAGATTGTCAAAAGTGTGGATGCAGCTGTCTGGGTGCACAAATTCAGATACATTCACAAAATACCTTAATTTTGTACACGCACCCAACCTCTAATGTTAATATTTAAATCAGTTGTTAACATGTGGATTAGTGTGCACACACATAAGTACATACACACCCATACTTTTTTGTGGTCTTGAATGTTGCACAAGTGTAGGTTTTGGAGATTTATTTTATTAGGTGCTTTTAAAGGGAAACAGGATGCTGGGGGAGAGATATCTGAGCCATGGGAATCAGTGAGAGGAACAGATGAAACCAGCTACATTTCCTCCTTCCCCGCTCACAGTGCAGTTGCAGACAAGTGTCTCCAGGGGAAGGGCAGAGCTTGTGGCTGGTTTCAGTGGCTTGTCTTCAATTGTTTCACAGAATAACAGCTCTCAGACAACTGCAGTGGTTCTTTGATTTTGCAGCTCCTAGAGCTCACTCTAACATAGGGTGACTTCTCTGGTTTAGGTGCAAGAGTTCAGGGATGTTCCTGAGACCTCAGAAGGAGTCCCAAGAGCTACAGTTGTACCAGAAGGATCTACAGCTGTCTGCTTGCAAATCTTCAGCTTTATCTACTCAAGCAATCTGGTCATCTGGAGATGATTTCCCTGCTCTACCCCAGACTATGCCTGCTGAACAGTGTTTACAAACAAGGGCTGCTGCCCTCCCCACTCCTCACATTGTTCTTCCAGATGCTCTATCAGATGACTTGGCCATGTACATGGTACTCCAATCACCTAGCTCTAGCTCTCCTTCCCCTCTGCTGAGCAAGCAGCCTCCACGCAGGTAAAGAGCCCTTGCTCCTCTATGTACTGTGGAAGAGGAAATAGGCTGCAGACTCTCCAGTTTATTCAAGCCCCAATTCTACAACTACCAGAGAGTCAGGGATTAGATTAGACAGAAAACTTGCCTTGGGAAGGGGTGAAGAGGAAAACAAAGGAAAAGAAGAAGCGCAAGAGGAGAACAGGCAGAAGTCAGCAGATGTTGAAGTTTATGCTCTGCAGCAAGCACCTCTCTGCAGCAAGCACCGTAATCCATACAGGAAGAGTAAATTAAACCCTTGCTGGGGCTAAACAGTTCACTTGCTTTCCTCAACACCATGCTTGCTTTACAAACTCCTTTTTTCCTTCAGTCCCACTATTTCATTGAGCCTCACATGGGGAGGATCCCCCAAGGCCTCGTTCAGACTCTTATCCACATGTGCTGCAGGATTTAGGGGTTCTGACCATTGAGGTCTTGTCTACACTAGAAAGGTTTTGACAGTAAAAGGGAACAGATATCCTCGCAAACCCTCCTATTGGAGACACAACTTATACTGGAAAAAAGACAGCTTTTGCCCATCTAGCTTATACCAGTTCTCTGAATAAAATAAGAAATAAGACTCCCTCTCCCCCCCCCCCCGATATTACTGCGTTTACACCTTCCTAGCTATGCCAATATAACTTAAGTGTAAACATGGCCTGAATTTGGTTCCATTGTGCCATGGAGATTATGAGGCACTGATTTTGACAAACTATTCTCATGAGTTTGAGTTTACTGTGGACTCTGCTATATTGTGCCACAATTCTGTAACTATGAAAGCTGCTCTCAATGACACAGAATCAAAATTCATGAAATTGTTTGCATTTACAGTTATTTCCTGTTGCTGTCCCCTCTTAAGTGTCTTATGCATATAGCTGCCAGCTGCACTGAACTTCAGTTGGAGAATAGTGAGAACTCACACAGAATCATTGCTCTTTTTTGTATTCTAGACAGAATGACTAAAAATCCCAACCTAAATACCTTACAGACAGTGTCCATTTAATCCAATACTGACACCAATTTTTTTGAAATGTAAGAGCTTATGGGACTCTGTTTCAGTGGCATCCTAAGGTTACTGGAAACAACTCAGTCGTAGATTTGGCCTTATGTGATGATTTCAAAAGGCAGTAGTGCATGTTTTAGCCAATCTGAAGATCTTTCATTACTTTAAGCCTTATTATTCAAAGGGAAAACAGTTACACAAGAAACAGTGCAACATACTTACTTTTAAAGAATCTGATCAACACTTGCTGTGTACGGTAGGATATTATAAATTACATTTATTATAAAACCATATCTGAAATTCGAGTGTATCTGCCATTGCTGAGTATGTTCTCGTCTCATACACCTGGGTTCAGTAGTAAAGACCCTTTTTAGGACTCTAAATTTGCAAAATGCATTAGGAAATCTGAGTCAGGTTACTCATGTTTAGACCATCATGCAGAAAAATAACTGCTTTGTTACTCATGTATTTCTCAATATCTATAGCACTTTAAAACTCTGCCCTAGATTTCCTTGTACTTCTAGGAAACTGGTGTCTGCTAAAGAGAAAATCACTTGGAGTAAATAAAAAAATTGTCTCCAAACAAACGAAAAACAACAGCACCACTGAGTTCAATAACCAACTATGGAACTGTTTATGAAGACAACCAAAGTGAGGATGCAGATTAGATTTAGTGATGGAGAGGAAAAGACTCCTGTAAGAGAGAAATAAAGCATTGAGCTACATCATTAAGGGTTTCAGTGAAGCTAAATCAGCTTTGGAAAGATTTACCAGCTGTAATTTCTGCCGCAGAAAGTAAATAGTGGTTAAGCAGGTGACAAAAGATATCCTGAGGACTGAAGATGGTTTAATGGAACAGTAAAATGATAACATCTCTGAAAGGCACTGAAAGTGCCCAATCTTAACCGAATGGATCTGTAACAGACAATAACATGTGAGAGGAAATTAATTAAATACTATGTTTGAAAACTATTAGTCATCAGGAAAAGGAGAGAGGAGACATTTTTAATAAGATCACTTTTAGGTTAATAGTTCACGAGAAGTCTACTAGTAGCATTAAAGTGGTGTGTTAAATACTTTTAATGTGTAGTAGCTGCAAAAGATAATATTTTATACCTCTTTTTTGACTGGTAGCTGATGGAGGTGGAAGAATGCCGGTTGAAGCTAAAATAAGACAAAAGTTTGTGTTTTTATGCAAAAGAAAATGTCATTTGAAATTGAGAACCAAATATAGCAGGATAATTAGGGCATCTTATCCTTCAATGAGTTCCTTATGAAAAGGAAGTATATACTATATTCAATAAGCAGTATGTTGAGGCATGTTAAAGTACATGACATGCACTACTTTTCATCTGGGTTACAAAAACAATGTTTTACTGTTATTGAGCCAAAACCTGCTCATCTTATTCAGACTAGAAACCACACTACAGTCTTAATAAGGTGAGGACAATTTGATTCATCGACTAAAATGCCCCAAAAAATCACTAGCTTTATACATTGGTGTTAATTCTTTAGTTGTAGGATTTTAGTTTTGCAATTAGAGACAGTTTGCTTTGACATTCACTAAATACTAACACAAAGAAAAAAGGTACATTTGCTTTGTTTCAGTGTCCACAAATCTGGATACTCCTAAATTGCACAAAATCTTAGTAATGTGAACCTTGAATTGAAACATCACTTCTTAACTTGGGAGCTCAGCTCCACCATAATTGTGGTGAGGCAAACAGCTGTCCCATAATAAAGACAAGTGGCAATGTAAATGAAACCACAGCATCAAGCTACTACACCAAACTTTTCCCTGGTTATTTTCAACCCAGACTGCATTTTTCAGTTGGTGGAACTGTAAAGGATAAAAATAAAGGGATCAGCCTGCAGAGATAACACTTAAAAGTCTATGGAAGATTTGATCTTGTGAAATGATGGATGTATTTTTATAAAATGTTAAAAAATGAATGACAACAGATTTGTCCATCGGATTCATGTCAAAGTCAAGCTATATATTACGGGTGAAATCCTAAATCGGTTATAATCAATAGGAGTTCTACAACTGTCTTCCATGGGGCCAAGATTTCACCCTATGTCTTTACAATGTTATTGAACTAGGTATTTAGTTAGCTATCCTTTAAACCTTGTGAGATAGGCTGTGAAAGAGTCAGGTTAACATTACAGGCTTTAAAATAAGGGGAAAATATGATTAATCAATTATTAATGACAGGCTCCAAAAATAATCCTGTAATCCCTTTCCCTGAAACTATTTCTTGGGGAACACAGTGTGTTTTAACTGAAGGGAAATCATTAAAGAAACTGACCTATCTCTCTTAGATCAGATTTCATTAGTTAGGAACATTGATTAAGAAGTTCCATGCTGCCACACATGTCTTGGGAGACTTGTTTTAAGTATCCAGGGAAAATCCATTGGCCTGGATTAGGCAACATGGAGAAATCTCCCTCCCATTGTAGCTGAGTAATTTTATGCATGAAGTTGAGGAGAAGGCTCTTCTAAGAGAAACTAGGCCTGTTCCAGATTTAAGGTGAAAAATTCGATTAAACCGGTGGAATGGACTAGATCGTCCCACAACAGCAGCAGCAAAGATATTACTGCCAGCAACTTCTTTTTTCCCTGAAGGTTTAGAGCAAAGATTTTTAAAGATGAGTGTCTAAAGTTGGTTTACTAGGTCCATATTTTAGCACCTAAATAGATTGCCTTGTTTTTAAATGAGAGCTGCTGGATGTTCAGTATTTTGAAAGATCAGGCTACTTATCTCGGTGCCAAAATGTGGATTTAGGAATCCAATTATAGGCACCCATTTAAAAAAATCTTTGGTATGCTCCTGAATGGACAGTTTATAACAAAAGAAACAAGAAGGTTTCTATGTAAAGAGAAAGAATCCAACTCCAGCTACAATTCAGCCCTCTGACCACTGGTATGGAGCTCTACCCCTTCAGAGTCCTCTTTACCTGTAACTATAAGGAAACTAATTTTATACAGGTTTCAGAATAACAGCCGTGTTAGTCTGTATTCGCAAAAAGAAAAGGAGTACTCGTGGCACCTTAGAGACTAACCAATTTATTTGAGCATGAGCTTTCGTGAGCTACAGCTCACTTCATCGGATGCATCCGATGAAGTGAGCTGTAGCTCACGAAAGCTCATGCTCAAATAAATTGGTTAGTCTCTAAGGTGCCACGAGTACTCCTTTTAATTTTATACAGTTCATCTGAGGTCCCAGTTAGCTCTTCGGTCTCCAGACCTGCTGCATTACTGCACCTTGTACATCTATGGGAGATCTAACCTGGGAGTGTATCCCTTGCCTGCTGATAACAATATGAGGACTTAGAAACTTGTCACCTCTTGCTGTTCCATTTTGAGTGCAAATTAAGATTTCAGGGCACTAACATATCCAACTTCTTAGTGTAGCCCTCTTTGGGTCCCCTGTCTTGGGCTCAGATAATTGATTGTGGCAAGCTGTAATTCTGAATATGCTAATTTAAATAATTATTCTTTTCAATGTTCAGTTGTTTTTTAGATAGGGTGAGGGGGGTATCATGGTCCAGGATGCTACTGAGAAGCAGAAAGAAGTAGTTAAGTAGTAAGGGAGTTTATACGTGCTCAAGGCAAACTTGCTTGCTCTCATTTACTGATTAAGTTCCCAACCTTCAAACTGCTACATGCACCAGCAGACATTTTTGCCTATGTAGAATTCAGTGGGGCTGCACATGAGTACCTGTGCATATCTATTTGGAGGAACAAGGATTAAGAGTGATTCCTAAGTCTAAATGAAAAGGGATGTGAATAGAAGGGAAATGGAAAAAGGATCAAATAAAACACACTAATAAGTTTATAGTTAAAGGTTGAATTAGCGATGCAATTAATGTGATCAAAATGGTGTCTAGATCTTTAATTACTAATTAGTTGTTGCTACATATTATTATATTAAAATCTTATGTAATTAGCATGTGATTTGTAGTTTTGAGAGTGGTTACCTATCATTTTCAGAGCACAAATGGATATAATTCATTTTGAACCAGAATATATTACTCAAAAAGTTAATTGTGCAACTAAAGATTATGGAAAGTACCATGGAAAGTGAAAGACATCTGACAGTTACCTGTCCGTCAGAGTAACTGTTACATAGATATTAATGACAGAAAAATTCAATTATCATATTTCAAACTGAAAAACATCCTTGCTGGGATTTACAAAACGTTAGTCTTATTTCAGGGATCTACACAAAGGAGTAGTTGCAGTTTCTTGATAATCTATCTTTTAAAAAGTATATACACACAATCAGCTAAAGAGCCATTATGTGAAAACCCACTTTCATTCTTCCTGAAAATCCTAATTTCAGGAATTTTTACATGACAATCTATAAATTTAAAGTTCAGTTTTTCAAAAGTTCTTAAACAACTATTATTTAGATAATCCCCTATTTTAAAACCCTGTTAGTGCATATGTACAAGATAGGAAGTAATGTAGAAGAGCTAACACTGCTGCCATCATAGTCTTCTAGGAGGATATTTTTCTTTTATAATTTAGTGTTTATTAGTCTGATTTTTTTTAAACACTACACTTTAAAAACCCTCCTGCACACAAGTCAATGAGAGTTTTGTCTAAGTAAAGATGGCAGGATCAGACCCAAGGAATTTAACACACTACCACTGTTGTATTTAAATACCAAAATCGGAAACCAACAAAAACAAACAAACAAAAGCTAAAAACTACCACTATTGTACCTGAACCCATACACTGAGAAAGGAGGGGGTCTTAGATCAGCGTGTTCTCATTACAACGTATGCTGGTACACTGCCAAAACTCAGAGACCCAAGTTAAAGACAATGTGTCATCCTTTAATATTTTAATCTCTGACACAAGTTAACATGTACACAAAGTGGGCCTGATTCTCCTCTCTCATACACCAGTAATTGTAACTCCATCAGACGTCAATGGACTTATTGCTGGTTTGCAAAAGTGTGAGAGGCCCCTGATGCTTTGGTTTGGTTTGTTGAGAGCGACAATACTGACAGTGAAGTTGATTCCAAAACACTATCGGACAAGCAAATGTGGATAAATTAAAAACTGAAATAACAAAATAATAACATAATGATAACAAGCAGCCTATCACTGTATACTTGTACACATGTCTAGCATTAATGTGACAAAATGTAAAAAGAAAGAAAAAGCTACAGTTAGTCAATGACATTTCAAGAGAAACTATTACATTTTGATTTGGGAGTTTCTCAGCAAATTGTGTAATGCTAATTGAGCCCAAGAATTTACAGCTTTCTGATTTACCCTGTGCTTTCACTCCAGAGCATGATACTGTTTAGGAGCATAACTTTATTGGACTGATTGTTACTTAAAAATAAACCAGGAAGATGGCAAAATAATAAAGCATTCATAGGAAAAATTGAAGTTAAAAAAGATAATTGTCTGCAGTGCGACTATTCCAAGGATCTTATATAAGGGATAGAGTGCTGTCATCCAGTGACTAGACATTTAGAATGGACACAGGTAATTAACAGCATCTCATCCTGTTCAGAGTCCGTTAGAGATCCTTATTGACTAAGGCAGGCAGTTTCATAATCATAAAAACAAATTCTGAAGTGATTTTAACCAATTCCTTAAACTGGAGAACTGATAGTTTTAAAGCTTGGTGTCTTCTTTCTCTTCCCTACATCAGTAACCTAGAAATAGAAATCAACAATGCACAACAAATCTGTCTTTTAGCCCAAGTCAACCAGTAGACATGCATTTCTTACTTAAGGTTAGGCAATAAAAACAAACTGGTGACAACGTTACAAACTGAGCCCAGAAAAAGAAACATAAAAAGTATTTGTGGTTTTATTTTTCTCCCTTCCCACAATGTTGTTCATTTCCATTTAGATGAGATCCCTCATTATTTTCTTGGAGGAAAAGAGCTGGCACCAGTTTGTACGGAATCTATAGTTGGCCTCATGAGCAGTTAATATACCATGGAAGTAAGTAACCTTACCAGGATTGTGTGTACACACAGTCACCAGATTTGCCCTCAATTATACCAGGCTAAGCCTAATGCAGTTACATGGGTGTAAATGAGAGAAGAATTTGGACCACAGTCAAGAAAACACACATCAGATAACTTTTGTGTCTCAGGATTTTAGATTCAGGTGACGCTCCCTTAGTTTTATTCATGAAGAGCAACTTGCCCATCCAACTAAGTCTGATTGCAGAATTCAGCTCTGGGATTTTATAGACAACAGACTAGACTTGCATTGCTTTTCAATGAATGAATCCCTCACTTGGAAGAAACAATTAACAGAGAACCTTGGGAACTGGGTTGTTCTGTAACTCCTACCTGGATCAATCCACCCTTCCCTGTCTTATCCATACTTCAGTAGATACGGTGCCTGAGACAGGACTGTGAGGTCAGTCTGTGTGGGTAGTTTTAAGAAATCACTGACCTGCTATAAAATATTGTTGTGACAAAGTCTTTCTGAAGCCATCACATTTTTTCTGGATTTCTTTCCCTCTCATTCTGATGGATTTATCAGTGACTGTACACACAAACAGAAGTTTTATATCCTACCTCTCTCTCGCTGCTGAGTGATGCCTCACAGCCCAGCAGTTGTGACAACATAATGACTTCTCTGGCAGTTAAATGTCAATGTCAGAAGCACTGGATTGTGGCATCGCTGAACAAATCAGACAGCAGGGAGAAGCTGAGTATAAAGGAGACAGCTTCGGTTTATGAACAAACAATCTTAATAATCAGCTATGTTAATAAAATAAATGCTCCTCGGAATAGCCTGAAATTTGCATTATGAAACTTTAGAAAGTTACTACATGGTTAAATGTTGGCAGGATCAGGCACTAAGACCACAAATATTTGGAAACAGACCAATTCTTTGAATGGAATAAAAAGTATAGAATAGTGGGACAGGTGTAATCCCTGGTGTAAAACCAGTAACTTTAATGGGATGAACATGGTCCAAAGTATCTAAAACAATTAGATGGAACAAACTTTCAGAATGCTACATATGGATGTAGCCTCACAACTACCTAGTACTCCTGGAGTTAAATCCATGCTCAGGATATGGAGAAAAATGAATCCCTAACTCTCCAGGCGAGTAGTCTACAAAAGGAAAAATGCACTGGTAGTTTTGCTGTATATTGTATTGATTCCCTACCCTGGAATGATTTAGAGAGGGCCTGAGATATTGTGCACAATAAATGTAAAAATAAACTCAAAGGAGAATTCTTTGGAGCCAATGCGCAGTTTCCACTCCAATTACCTCTGCTGTGGACTAACAATGAGCAATTGCTTCTAAGCTGCTATTTGCTACTTGCTACAAGCAGCTTCTGTGCATCTATTGTTCCATACAATCACTATTCTAATCTGTTTCTGCTTTCTTTGCCTTACGATGGGAAGCTGAGTGGACTCGCACATTTAGGAGTCTCTTCATTTATCCATGTCCAAGTGATTTTACATCCGTAACTCCCATTAGAGCCAAGAAGAATCACGCATGCAAATCCCTTTTGCAACCATTTTAAAAAAGATCCCCATAGTAGCAATCTGGAAGGCTTGGAATGCAGACTGACAAAATTTTGATGCAGATTTCCTGGCTTGCAAGAGTAAGTGCCAGGACTTACATTTGTTTACAATTTTTGTTCTGATCTATGGATAAGGTTTAATTACAAACAGAGAGAAATACTTCCCATGAGCTTACATGGCAGCTAGGACCACGTCCTCAAAAGAAATAGCTTTTGATGCCTAACTATATGAAGTATTTTTTTCCCCAAGCAAGTAAGAGATCTTCTTTGGTAATTAAATTTTTTTTGATCAATCTCAATGATCCCAGACCCCATTCTCAAACAAATAAATTCTAGTTAAAATCAGCATTCAAGCGAACAAGATAGCCCCAGCACCATTTACAAGTATAACCAAACACAGAGTTGGATGCAAATGCAGTAAAAGAATTCTTTTGGAAAACACTGAGCACCAACCCTTTGAAAAAAAGGCCTCTAAGATGTCTCAAGTTGGACATCCAAAAGTAATGGAGGCACCCAAAATCACTGGTCACTTTTAAAAATCTTGGTCATACACACAGAAAGCTAAAAATCAACACTTATCTGAATACATGTAAAACTGTTTAGTGAAGTGGTGCAATGTCAATAAGAGGACCCCTTCCAAGATATTGAAGGTCTTATGGCAAGATTTTCCTCTCCTGGCAACATCTGGCTTCTCAGTGAATTCCCCTAGCAATTATTTTGCTGTACTTTATATATATATATATAGAATTAATCCAGTGACCCATTAACTTTACATAAAGTGAAAATGTATGTACCAGATTAACACATCAATTAGTTCTTCACTTCTCCACATGAGTTCTTACAGCTCTGGTTGCTTTTATTTACTTATATATTTATTTATTTGCAATGCCCTTGGTTGCAGATTTGACCTAGGACCTTACTCTATTTTTAGAAGTTAATGGGGAAAATTTGAAGTCAATTGTAGTGCCCAATGAGACAAATTCATCTCTGGTGTATTTCCACTGAAGTCAGTGGAATTACACCAAGAATGAATTTGGCCTAGTTTGTTTTAGCTTGCTTAATATGGGAACTATAGAAACAGATGGAGTGCTTAGTGCACATATTTACATTCCAGAACCAATAATGATTTTCCATCCCAGAGCTCTTTCAATTCTGCATTGTTGCTAGAGAAATGACAACATATTGAAAGGTTTGAGATATGCTTGTGGGTCACTTATGTTTTCTATAATATAAGATTTTTATATATAAAATTTCCCCAGATTTAGCCTTCAAACCTGTGTGCTCTTTTCACTGCAAACAATGCCCTGAGGTGATTTCTGTCTGTTTTATGTTGAGATAAAGCACACTTGGATAATTATTATCTCAACTACATTACTGACTGACTCAGTCTCTCTCATCATCATCATCATCATCTAATTGTGCTCAAATAATAAATCTTAAAATCCATTGCCTTCTCTACTGTTCAGCCTGATTAAATGTAAATGCTCCAAAGCAACTAGGAAAGCCTGGCAGAAAGCATTATGGTAGTATTCTTTGTTTCTAATGATAACTATTTCTAACCCTTCTCCCACCAGTGATCTGTCATTAGTTAATCATTGTTTAAAATACAATAAAAGTAGGTCTGATGAACCTTTAAAAACGGGGTCAGCTGGTCACATTATGATCCAAATTTTTCACCAAGTAAAACACAGTTTGGGGTTGCCACCTCTCTTAATTAGACAAACACCACACAAACAAACAAATTTGAATCTGACATACAACTAGCTGTATGAGCTCTGAGAACATATTTTAGTCATATACTTTAAACCTAATACTTGAAAGATCAAGGTTTTCTTTTAGCTTGGTTTTAATTCAGATAACATTAAAACAAACAGGCTGCTCCATGGAGTAAATTTTACTTCTCAATGTTCTCTCCCAAGCCAATCTTTTAAGAAGTTAGGAACCTCAAACTGGAGTGAATAATGAAGAGTGAAGACAATCTAACTAAAAAGAAAAATGAGAGATGTTTGCAAAAATACCTAGACTGAGCAGAGATAGCAGACGAAACAGTGGAAGCTGCTAGTGACATGTTCTTGGACCCAGGGAAAGGTTTAGGCTGTGACAGAGAGCTGGGGCCTGCAAGCACTCTGCAGAGGACACAGTAAAAGCATGAAAGCATGTACAAAAGAATGTTACAAGGAGAACAAGAATGACATCTCAGAACTGAGCCATGTATGAGTTCAAGTATAAGACAACCACTCTATAGTTACCAGCAACACATGTATTTTCTATGGAATACATCTGCAGACCCACAGTATAGCACAACCAAGCACATTCCTACAGAAGACAAAACACATAAGTTACAGAAAAAATATTAAAACAGGACTCTCTGGATAGCTCAGAAAGGTGGTAGTTCAGACAAGTATTTTGTTTGAAGGCATACATTTTTACCCTGTAAGGACCAATATATTTGAATCAGAAGTCAAGACAAACATTTCAATATTCAGCTAATGCCAGAGTAAAGAGGACAAGGGTCTTATGGTCATTTTTGTTGTGATCAATCCCAAAAGGTTGTTTATATTCTTACCTATATGGAGTAGGGATTTGCTTTTTCAAGAATGTGTTATATACTTCATTGTCTTCGTGCAGCAGTTTAAGTAAAGATATACTGAGGGCTAAAATTATTTAAACAATTATTGTACGTGAAATGCTTCTCAAGCAATGATGTTATCAATATAATTAGGAAAATAGAGTGTAGTACTTTGCTTGGTCTCCCTTTGCTGGCTGGATGTCTGGCTCTATGGCATCAGAACAAAAATACAGAGTCAAACAAAAAGTATTTTGAAAGAAATTTGAGATATTAGTAGCTAAAAAAAGTCAGTATTCATAAATATTTTTCAAGTGTCTTGGTGAGAGAATATCAGGTAAAAAAAAAAAAGCTTTAGAACAGAAAGAACATTTCCTACCAAATTATGCAATTTTAAGATACTGTAGGTTACATTTTGAGCCTCTATTTTTTGAGAGTAGTTCATATTATTGAAGGGGAGACTTTTTGTTCCTGGCCACTTAAAGTGGGCTAAAATGTGCAAGGTAAATGATTTTCAAAGCTTTTAGGAGCAAAAACTGTAAAAGAGAAAAGAAAAAAGATAAAACGTAAATTCATTCTTATTCTTTTGACAATTATTATGTAAATGGCAACATCATAAACTTCACCCATTTTTCCCACAGTCTGAGGAGTCTGTTCACCCTAGATATACATGTATAATTCTCAATATTATACAGCAATTATGAATACTCAGTGAAGTGAGAATAGACTCTGAATTAATATCTTTGTTCCTTTTTAAATCTTGTATTAATTGTATAGTAAAATCTTATTAGAAAAAACAGTTAAATAGAAATGAATCAACTTAGTGCCTTTATAGAGAAGTCAACCACCAAATGAATGGATCTACTGACATCCTGTATATGGCACATCCCATAATACTGAGATCTGTCACACTACAGTAAATATCAAAAATCCTACTATACACAGTGTGTTATCACCCAAAGGGTTAAACTGCATTTTGCATTTTCTTCTTTGAACTTCTAAAGGGCATTGTCACTGTTTAGGTATATTAAAATCCAGATGGATCTTTGTAGTAGCTTGCCTAATTTATTAACCTGTTTATTTCTTGATAATTTTAACACTGCTGTAATGCAATGTAAAGGATTTTCACTCGCTATTTTAATTATGAAACTTTGGTGTCCTCACTACTGGCGACAAAACAGTTCTATTTTTAACATCAGATTTTCTTTTTTGAAAATGTAAATTATATTCCTCACTTGCAAGTATATTTGATTAATTTTGTCTGAGATCAGTTTGCATCTTGCAATTTCCTTCCAAACAAAAATTCAACACTCCAACAACAAACAACTTCAGAATACATAAAACTAGGCAACATATTTTCCCGATATTCTGCAAACTTGGATAAAGTTCCGCCCCCCACTCCCATGTACACACACACACACACTCACAGCACTTCTAAACACCAAACAGGGAGACATCTGCAAAAAGACAATGCAAAAAAGCATTACCTTTGGAAAGAGGACGAGAAGGAATCTTGTACTACAGAGATAGGAGTGGCTGATGGTGGTGTCATCTGATTGGACGTGTTTTGAATAGCAGTAGCAGGCGGATTGGCTGAAGCAACTGGTACAGGAACAGAGGCAGAGCTGGTAGACACTGGCGCATGCTCAACAGGGGTACTAATTAGAGTTAAATTAAATAAAACAAGAAGCATCTTAAAAAGGTGTATGTTTACTGTGTAAAGGCACAAAACCTACTGTGTTTGGCCCCAAAAGCTGCGAACAGAGTGACAAGCTGTAGTACTGGGGGGGAAAGCACAGATATGGCAGGTCAAAAGCACATTTGTTAAGCTTTTTCTGTAGCTGCGTTAGGACTAAAATTAGGTTTAATCCTGAGTTCAATAATGTTCTCATTTGGGTGAAATTCATCCCACAGCACATAAGGCCTTACTGCCCAATCCTGGTCCCACTGAAGTTAATGGCAAAAAAACTTCCAGAACGTGAGACTTAGGTGGTTGTGAAGAGGACTGCAAGAACCCTCAGTGCAAGGGTAAATTTCACTCACTTATGCATAATGTTAACTTCCGGATCAGAGATTACATTAGGTGGAAGCATTAAAAAAATTAGATTGATGAAAGGAAACCAGTTGTACAATATCATCATAGGCCTGAATAAACAGAATTGCTACAAGTTACTGCTGTTCTGGATGTTACTGAGCAGGAACTATCGGGGTGTAATCTCCTCAGTGCAATGTGCAGGGTGGTACAGTGCTAGAGAGCTAATTATGGCTCAGTCATTCTCTGCTCAGCACTCTTCATCCCACTAAAAGTTCGAGTAGCAAGCCATATCCCTGACATGCCCCGCACCACCCCCAACAGCAGGGCTGAAAGAAGGGATGGGGCAGCATATGAGTTTGCTATACCATTCCTAAGCCTGCTTGGGAGATGAAGTTAGTTTCTGCTCCCTTTGTCACACAAGTGGAGCAGGAGCAGACCAGAGCAACCTATCTTCCCTTATCTGATGACAAAATAGGCTTATTGAAACCAAAACTACATCTAGTCTTTTTGAGTACAAAATATTGATTGTAACACTTTATTTAGGCACTTCTATGTCCCTCAGCACAATGATACCTGAACACCTCTCAGTTGTTAATGGATTTTATCCTCACAACAACTCTGTGAGGTGAGGAAGTGTTATCCTATTTTACAGATGGGAAATTGAAACACAGTGTAGATTAACTGATTTGTACAAGGCTACAAAGGAAGTTTGTGGCTCATCTGGGAACTGAACCTGAGTCTCCAGAGTCCCAGGCCATCGCCTATCGATTAGACCATAGCCCAGCATGAATAGCATATGCTACATTGAGGAGGAACTCTCCAAGTCCTGGACTGAAATGTTTTAATGACACATGTAAAAAACGGAAGGCAAATAGTGAATTTACTAGCCAGCTGTCAGTAAATGAAATAAACACACCTAAGTCATTTGGAACTATCCCATTTGAAAAGGAAACAAACAGAATTCAAAACAAAGAAACAGGAAAAGGAAACAACCCCCATCTCTTTCTCTTTATATGTTGTATCTACCATTAGCTACAGAATGAATAAGCTAGTGAAAATATCCACCACATCGACAATTTAGGTTTTCAAATTTTTCCACAGAAATTTTCCAACCTTCATATACATATGCAAAACTCAGATCTAATCCTCATTGTTCTTGATGCCATATTTTAACATGCTGTGGATTCATTTGCCTCAGCCACTATCCCAATACATTATGTATTATTTAAAGCATATAACACTGTAGCTGTACAATGCCCTGGCTTCAGAGTTATGAATGCAATACCATGTTTACAGATAAAAGAAAACACAATGTATTTGACTGTCTATGCAAGCAGTGTGGTAGCTGCATTTCCTCTTTTTGGAATGGATATCACACCAAAGTGGAGATACTCTAAATTTTACTCTTATACCTTAGGTTTGGCAAATTTGCATGGACTGAAACCATGCCTCAAATAAAATGAGATTTACTGTATGTTTTTTCTTAAGAGGAAACATAAATGAGCAAGACAAAAAACCATGGGTGAAATCCTGTTCCCACTACAGCCAATGGGAATTTTGCCACAGGCTTCACTCCATGGCTAATAAGCCTGTGGTATGGTTATTCAATTTTTGTAGTGAATCTTTTAAATGTGAGCTGAAATACATACCCAATAATTAATCAAACAAAGGAACACTAAGAACTTATGTGGACATGTACTTGTGTGTGGGCAGGTTTGAGGCGGATGGGCATGTTATAGTAGATATAATAAAACTGAATGCAAGCACATTAAAATACATTATAAGGACATCAAACAATAATGTTACATGTTTTGAAGGTTTCTTTACTTAGGCACTAGAAATCTAAAAGTCACATAGGCTTGAATCCCTCTCCTGCAACTGCAGATCACTAGGATATGCATTCATTATTCCAGAGAATAAGAAAATAGTTACACAAAGCATATATAAATAGTTAAGTCAGAAATGTGATCTTGCTACCTTTAACTTCTGCACTTTGGACCTAATACTTTGTTTACTTCTACCAGTAGAATCCAGAGTAACTTCACTGTCTTTACTGGAATCACTCCAGCTTTACCACAGTGTAATGACAGCAGAAATTGGTTGTTCCCTGTTTTATGAATGCTTGTAGTTGTGTTGAACAATCAGTTTTTGGATTAACCCCTACAAAACCTTAGACTGGAAATACTGTCCCTACTAAAGGCAATGGGTGGTTTGCCATTGACTTCGCCAGAGCCAGGATTTCACCTTTTGCAGGAGGAACATTTCATACACACAAAAGAGCAAGCTGTAGAAATATGTAGCGATTTAGCAAGTCTTTCTTTTTTGGGTAGAAATAATAATACTCAGCACGTATACAATGTCTGCAGCTTGAAAGCTCTTTATATACATTAACTCTTAGAACTCTTCTTTTTAGAAATAGGTAAACAAATCCAAAGGGAATTCTGCCCTCAGTTAATATGTTCAACCCACTGAATGGGTGCAATTTGGGGCAGAATTCAGAGTAACCAAAGACCACCATGAGAATCAGTGGCAGAGCCAGGAGGTTCCTAGCAGTTCTTCAGGTGTCTGCTGATTGACTAGGGATGAAGTCATAGTTTATAAAATGAAATAGCTACTGTATATCAGAGCATGAATAATAATTTTATGATTAAGTACCTAAAGTGATTTACTGTTATTTCCTTACTGGTTCTTCTCCAGTTCACTTTTAACCAACCACCCCATTCCATCAGTCTTTACAGTATTTTATATTTTAAGGGGATAATCAAAGGAAATGTAAGTTCTTAAATAGCTCAATATCCTTAATAAACTATAAAATGAAATGTTCAGCATGGTAAAGTTATATGGATGAATATACACACGCATGTACGTATATTCTGTTACCATTTTGATGTTCACACGTGAGAAGGAACACAGTTCAGCAGAGGTTAAGCAGATGATAATGATTAACAACCATATTTAAAACACACGCACAAACACACACCTAAAAATAAGTACAGATTACACTCCTTTACCTGAGAAGAGTCCTAGCCCTATGAAATTCCAGGTCTAAGAGTCTTGCAATAGTAACTAAAGAGCAGGTTATTAAAGCAGTAGTTAGTCTCTTTTAAGCAGTGCACAAAGTTGTTTTTGTTTCAGGTGCTCCAAAGAAATCTCTGGTAGGGAAGATAAATCAAAATGTGCAGTCAAAGAACTAATCTCTTCTATTGTAGCATATGTTAATAATGGAATTGCTGGAGATTGCATTTATAGTAGAATACAACATGGATGTGTTTTGGACTTGCATTAGTAGAAAGAAGAGCTCAATTCAAATGCCAACTGAGCATCCATTCAATAGAATGGGTTGCTGTTTCTGTGGAGATGGTTCCTATGTGACTGTCACCTGCCTGGTGGTAGAGGAAGCCATTCAGAAAGTCACTTACAACAGGAAGCATATGAACTAAAAGCTGGTGAAATTTATAGTACTTAGATATTTGACTTTTAGGCAATGGGATTTTTCATATGAAAGAGTTAGAGAATGTTATTACAAAACCATACCAAAGCCACAAGCCAGATCAGTTATGGAGTTACATGTTGCAGTGTACCTTTGATTATTGGATGAAGTCAGAGGGGCTTTCTGGCCAGTCCTGATGTAACTGGCTTCCCTTTGACTTGAACCCGTTCCAAACCTCACGGAACCCTTGGAGGCCACTGGCTTAGCTTTGTCAATGTTGGCATCCATGGTGCGTGACTTAGGAGGATGCCAAACACTTGAGGTCACATACTGTGCCACATGATGAGAACCTGTAGGGCTGGGTAACAAAGATTAGAAGGGTGTATGTGCATGAGATATATTTTTAACCACATTACCAGTTCCTTAAATGAATATTAGGTCTTTGAGAGTGAAGAAGAGTTCCAGCCAAAAAAGTAGCCAGTGCTTTTAAGTGAGAAGTGTTGTATTTGTTCCACTTAGTTTTCTGAGATCCAAACGCCTACCATGTAATCTAACGAATGAGACATCATTTCAGAACATTCATGTCTACCCCTCTGACGTAGGACTTAGAATGTCAATGCACTGGGAAAGGCCTTAAGGAAAAAGAGTGAGAAATTGCTGAACCTCAGCACTAAAAAAAGCCAGGTTAGCTCTTGGTTTGATGAAGAAGGCTTCAGTTTTCTGACTGACATCTTATTTGGGAAGAGATTTACATCAGCAAATCTCCAATGTCCTCTTATTTTATCCCTTAAGTCCCCTTTGATATCACTGCAGAGTCACATGTGAAATCATACCAATCTTCAATGCCGTATTAAAGACTATGGTCAGGAGTCGTTCTGAGAACCAGGATAGAGATCTACAGGTTCATTACAGTCTTCTTTATCCTTCAGCTAAAACTGGAGACCACATTATTGACATCATTGTATCAAAACAAGACCTAGCAGAAATGAGACACTGGAGGTGAAGACATGTTATAACACAACCAACCATAAGTGACTCAGTAGATATAGTGTGACACCAAAACCACAGACGTCTGAAATTGTTCAAGGTAGTCCAACAAAGAGAGATTTGCAGTTAAGTTTCAATGAAGCAACAGTATAATCTTGTGGTCAGTCCTACACAAGCAATAGTGTTAGCTACTACCCTTCATTCCCTGTAAATGTGGTTGCTAATTATTTCATATATCAACTCCTTCCCCTTCTGTTCCATCTTATTGGTATGATCCAGTCAACTGTTGAATTTTTTTTCCTTACTGGGAATGCCAGTCACGGTTGGTCATGTTGTTAGTGGTGACAATCCTCGCACTTACTCTTATTATAACTCTCTGTAATACTTGTTCAAATATGGTTATTTTAAAAGCTGACATAAAACCTTGTTCCATGTGGAGTAATTAAGATATCAGAGGAAGTCACTGTCTTAAATCTTTATTTCTATGCTCTGAACTTATGAAGAGTTGCTATGCTCTGATAAATAATGGCAGTGCTTCATCCTAGAAATAGCTGCATTTCGTGTTTGGTGCTGAAATTATTTTTATCTACATCTATATAAATGTATATAACACAGATATACACGTAGATAGATTATGAATTTTGTAAGTGCATTGGAATCTTTTGAGAGGAAAAGCACTATATAAATGCAAGAAAATACTATATATAGTATGGATTCATATCTTTTTAATCCATGATCAATACAACTCAAGAATCAGAGTTAGAATTGCTTTTAAAATGTCAAGAAATTCAACTAATTTAGATTTAAAAAAACTGAGGAGCAGCTCAGACCACAACACTGGAATCTGATTAAAAGTGGAAATGGTCCTTGAACTTCTGGACTGTTCGCCTCTGCTGAATAACTATAATATTGAACTTCAGAAACATGGATCAAATGCTGCTTATTTTTCTGTTTTCTAGAATTAAAGGTAATGTGGTATATTTTGCACATTTCCAATGTAGTCTGCCACCTGGCCAGGAATCTTTCAAATATCTGCATTAAAATGCACACCTCTAGCAAATCATCTCAGCTGAAATACCACTATAATGCATCTGTTCAAAGAGTGACTACATCGGATGCATTTGTAGTAAAAACTTTCTGTGGAAAGTCCGAGGAAAAAAGAATACATGACAAACGTTACCTGTTTTCAGCTGCTGCAGCAACATTTTCCTTGCCACTGTGAAAGGAGGGGATACAGTGTGAATAAAGCAAGTGCAGGTACCAGTGGTGGGGGGAGAAGGAAGAACAGCAGCAAAAGAAGGCAGAGTGAGGACAGATGTTTGGTTGTCAAAAGCCTTTTAGAGTTATGTTCTCGATGTTTATGACTATTGTTGTTGTGAGAAATACCCTAGAATCAATTTTTTTTTTCTTTTTAAGAATTAGATAGAAAATGTGCTGGAACCCAGATGTGTGATTTTTTTTACAAGCTTTCTCTTTGTTAATTGTAGGCAACTCTATTTCATTGTTAAAGTAAAATGGAGGCTCAGCGACACACTAAAAATCAACCGCTCTGTGTATTTGGGGGAAGCTTTGGCTTCAGTAATGGCCCTGTTTAAAAAATAACCCTTTAGTATCCCAGTAGAACATACTCATGTGCCAACTCCAGTTTGTGAAGACAATCACAGTGAGAGTTGGTTTGTCCCTGGGTATCCAATGTTCTGAAGCGGTTACCAGTCTTAGAAAAGATGTGCACTACCAGTATGTGCTCAATGTGAAGCTGTTGTTTTTTAATGGCTTACAGGGACTCCTACGAGATGGGCTGCATTACATGTCTGGGCTCACTTAAAAATGTGTAAGAGGCAATTCATCCTGCCCAGTTGGGCCCTAAGGGACAAAGCCTAGGATTGTGCCTCCGCAGTGTGGAGCTCAACTGGAGCTGAGCAACATAGTGAGGCTACATGCAACAGAGACCCTTGTCAGGTTCCTCTTCTCCCCTCCCTACCAAGCATTTACTCTCCTCCTTCCCCCAAAAGTATCAAGTTCATTTTGGGGGGCAACGAAGGAAGGGAAGGCATCTGGGGCATCTCCAGCCCTGCTTTCCCCTCCATGGTCCTCATGCTGGGGAAAGAGACAGACGGAGGCAAAGAGAGCCACTTGGAGGGGTGAGCTGGCAAGTGCCTTTATGAGGCGCCATTTTGAACTTGTAATACATATAAGACTCCCATTTACTTTAATGTGAACCACACAGGAGCTGAAGGACAAGACACTAAGGCCCCAGTCTAACATCAATTTAAGTCAAATGAAGGATTCCCATTGAAGTCAATGGCAAGACACCCACAGATTTCAGTGGTACAGAATTAGGCCTTGGTCCTGCAAACACTTATACATGTGCTTAACTATAAGCTTCAGACTAGTTTCAGCACAGTCAATGAGACTATTTATATGAGTACAGTTAATATATGTATAACTGTTAGAAGGACTGGGGCCTTAAGACTTTAATACTCCATCTTATAATTCTGAAACATAATTTCTCAACTAATTAAAATCTTTTAGGACCTGATTCAGGAAAGCACTTAAGAATAGGCTTACATCCATGCCTACTATTTACACAGATTTAAATGAGACCTAAGTATATGCTTAAATGCTATCTCGAATAGGGAGGCTTATTCTGACACCTAAGAGTAAAAAAAGATGCAATGTAAATTTTAAATGTACTAATTTGTTAGGCCAAGTCATTTTTCTACTTTGCTTATGGTATTTAAAAAGTTTCACAGAGTATTTCTGTAGATTATACTTATTACCATTGATTATATACTGTTTGACTGTTCCTAATGTGGATACATGTTATTTAATAATACAATACTAATTAAAAAGCCGTTTGCTTTCAAAGGTATTATGTAGAAAGATAAAGTAAGATGCCTCTTATAGCCACAGTGAGCCAGCTCTGACTGCATCCCTTTGGACAACAGCAATCCCTGATAGCAGCTGTTGAATTTTCATTTTCTGAGGGGGAAGTGTGCTAGTGAAAGTTTCCCCTCTAGGAAGTGGTATGTGTGTGTGTGTTTGTTGTTGTTGTTGGTTCTGTTTTTTATTTTGCTAAAGGGAAGGTGGGTAGCATAGTAGGGATAGAAGAGCCATTCCCTTCTCTTCATAAGGTGGGCTAGTATTAGTCACTGCTGTGCATGTATGTTACATATAAATATACTAAATTAGACCCTTAACAGGTGCAACTCAGTGGAGTGCCACTGAAGTCATATGAACTACTCTAATTTACATTACATTAATTCTGACTCATTGTATTTGTGTTGTCTCTCCTTTTCCTCCTTCTCACCATATTTCCTAAGTGAAAGGCAAACCCAAAAGTGTATGAGTCCAAGGGAAATGTTCAAAACCCACTATGTCAGAAATTAAGCAGAACAAGTTTGTCTGCCTTTAATAAGGATGTCATGCTGCTCAGAATGGAAGATACTGGCTTAAAACTGAATCCCCAAGCTGGATCAGTTCACCTCTCTAGAGTGATGACAAACCAATCACTAGCTCTATAGATGACCGAGTCGTGAGTTCACCAGAATGTAATATATCAAGTAGCCAGGCTGAAAAAAGTTGGGGATATGTTAGAGATTTAGTCTCTGGAAAGAAAAGAAGCGTTAAAATAATATACCAAGAACCAAAGTCATGCAAGAATATTAAAAAACAAACTCATAGCCTGAAAAATCTGAAGCATGGTTTATTTCCAGTACAGCAAAATGGGTTATGAAAAAAAATAAACAGTCCAGACCAAAAGACAAGCAATTGGGATAAGGCTTCTAGTAGCATTAGGCCACTGCAGTTATGGTTAACTTCATTCACCCTCTCCTGCTACAGCAGAGGTGGGCGAAATCCCGGCTGAACTGAAGCTAATGGCAATACTCCCAATGACTTCACTGGGGTCAGCACTTCACCCGAACTCTTTCACTAACTGTGCAAGTGTAGGGCACTGCTTAATAATGGTGGCAGGGGCGTTCTGATGTTAAAGGAGAGAGAGGTATGGAACAATTATAATAAACACAATTCCACAGAACAAAGCAGGGAGAAAAAAACTCATTCAGAGCAGAGAGAAAAGGGAGAAGACAAACTCAAATGCACAAAGCACATTTTCATCAGGGATTATTCTCCTCTCTGTGAGTGAGAACAACTCCTGTAGTTGAATCAGCTGAACTGGAATTTGGACTTAGCTATTGGTACAGAGTATTGACAGAGGGTTTTGAAGATGAAACGGACCAAACCCTAAGCCTTTCCACTATGGGAATGCTGAACTTAATTTGCTTTCTAAAACCACTGCACTTATTGTATTTAATGGGTCAAATTCATCCCTACTGCAAGCTCAGTAAAGTCAGTGGAACTACATCACGGAAGAATTTGACCCAATGAGATTTAAACTATTTTTGTATTGTGATTATACAGGCTGATCACACAAATATGATTATAGACGTGGAGAGTAGTTTTGGGGTATCAGGGAGAGATTCAAACCTGGGCTTTCTTCAGTCCCTGTTGTCTCCCACACAGGTGAACCAGCTTTAGATAGTAGGGCCTTGTATAATGTCCCCTATAACAAAATGGTGGCAACTCCCACAGATTTCAGTAGGAGCTTTATATGTGCATCAGAGAACATATATTTGTCCATTCTACTGTTAGTCTCAGTTACACAGTGCAGTATATAGTTGAAATTAGGGGATGTTTGATAATACAGTGCATGAAATGATCATGCAGACAGACTGAGGGAATGGAATTAAGACTTTTAAAAACCACCCACTGAACTATCAAGCTTAAGAATTTTAATAAATTAGGTAACAAAATGCAATACACATTTGCCATACACATTTACAAAACACACTTGTTTCTGTTGAAAGCCAAAAGGCTCTGAACTTTAGAGAGCTTTAATAAGGATTTTAGAGAATCTGAACAACAAACAGTATATTTTACTGTTGTTTTCACTTAGAAACCAAATGTAAAACATTGTTAAACCAGCACTCAAGTTAAGCACATGAGAACTCAGAGCTATCACATTTTCCACTCACTCCTAAAAAGAGAATCCTAGACTTTCTCCAGAATTAACAAAACTAATTCCTTACCAAGAAAAGGAGTACTTGTGGCACCTTAGAGACTAACAGTACTCCTTTTCTTTTTGCAGATACAGACTAACATGGCTGCTATTCTGAAACCCATCTAATTCCTTACTCTTCCTCTAAAATCATGCAGCTACAGAGAGGACTGATTAGAAAATAAAAGAAATAAATTTTGGAATAAAGAAAAAAATTGTGGGTCAGAGCTATTCTGCAGTTCTCATTCCTGCTTTGCTATCTTTTTTCTGGGCTCAGCTCCCTAACTCAGAATCCATCTGTGCTGCTGTATTAGAGGAGTTCCTCTAATTTTGCCTTCCTGCACTTTGAACTGTATGATGAGGCTTGGTCTACACTAGTAACTTAAGTTGGTATAACTACATCACTCAGGGATGTGGAAAATCTACACCCCTTAGCATAGACCACTCATGCCTCCCCATATGTGTGACCCCTCCTCAGCCTGCGCCCAGCCTGGGGCCACCGCGCTTTCCCCACCCCAAAAGTTACCTGCAGGAGGTGGAGGGCCTCTGTCCTTCTCCTGCTATGCCTCTCGCCCAGAATGTTCGGCTGCTCTCTCTGGCAACTGAGCCTGGGTGGGGAGCAGGATGGAGCCACTTGTCACACAGCTGAAGATGACCACTCCAGCTCACTGCTCTGTGCAGCGCAACAGCTGCCTGAGAGAGAGAGCCCGGCTGAGGAGGTGGTGGGGGCGATGAGCTGTCCCCTACTCGGGCTCGGCTGCTGGGGACAGGGGCTGAGCGAGCCGGAAACATGCCAGGGGAGTGAGTGCTCTGGCTCACTCGGCCCTGGTCTCCGGCAGCTGGGCATAGGCCAGGGGTGGCTCTTCACCGCCTCCCCAGCTGGGCTTTCTCTCAGGCAGCTGCCGTGCTGCACAGAGCAGCAACCCAGAGCAGTGGCATGGGAAGTGGCTGGTCCCACCCCTTCCGCTCCCTGCCAAGGCCCAGCTGCCATGGGCAGGGGCCGAGCATGCCGGGGGGTAGAGACAGCAGGAAAAGGACAGAGCCCCTTCCCTCTCCCTCAGCAGGCCAAGCAGAAATCTGGGGGGGGGCACTTGACCCCCCCAAATTCCTCCCTGCGCATCACCTATGCGCCTGAGTGACGCAAATATACTGACTTA